GTTCTGGTCATGTGCAGCTGGCCTCAAACAGAGCTGTGTGTTTGTACAAAGTGCAAAGCGAAACATTACTGGATTATCTAACTGAAAATATTTGTACCGGCCAGCGATGGCCACCATTTTTCCAACATTAACTCAAAGAAAAATAACGCAGAGCATTTGATCTGAGTGAGAGATTTCATGTAAGCAGGTCTAAGCCTATTATTCAGTTAAAGATTTGTTTATTTGAAGATAAACAAGAGTGTTCAAAGAGGCAAGATTTGTCAGGTCAGTGAGCAGTCAAACCTGGCCTTATTGAAATATGGAAAATACTGGACTGGGAAAATGGATGGGTTACAGTCATGAGACAAAGGTTGGATTTCTTTCTACAATATTCCCCGTTACAAAAATCTTAAACTAATTTGTTTCACTTAGAAATATGATATTACAGAAGTAAAATGGGTTCTGAACTGTGTATCATAGGTAGTGACTTAAAACAGAAGCCACCACTTGTCAAACTCCTTCAGATCTAATAGGAAAAAAACAAGGAAGTTGATTAACAGCAAGCTCTACTGGGCATGAACTTCCATGGAATCGTGCATTATGATGATTTGACATCATAATGAGTGATGAGTGAGCTCTGAGACGAGTAGTATGCATTGTAATGTTCAATTGTGAGTTGAAAAGGCATGAATAGTCAATAGTCATGTCTTTAGAGCCCAGATATTATGTTATAGTGACATGTACAATTGCAGCTCCCAGCAGGCTGTAAAAAAACCACATTAATCTTGAGTTAGAATATGAAACCATCACTATATCTCCTTTCACAAGACAGGCAAGCAGATGCCTTCAAAACGTGATACCGATGGCAAGCTTGCCAGCCTATGTCATGACATAGATATCCCTCCGTGTTCAACAGATTATATGACTAATCAAAGACGGCACAGGTTAGTAAATAAAAACTAGATGGATGAATGGAATAAACAAAGACGGAATGGAAAGGTCAAGATGCTTTCTGACATAAACTGTGCAAACAGACCTGTTAGTGCATATTTTATGTGTAACAAACCTAAATTATTCATTAAAATTACTTTTAAAGTCAGCATGAATTCAAATTTCACCATATCGGTTTTCTAAATGTTATTGATCTTATTGTGAACAATTCATCCATGCATGCATTTCACTTTTATTATTATTTTATTGATTTATTAAATTTTTTTCTATTCAATCAGATCTACAATCAGAAAGAAATGATCAGTTTCATCCCAACTGTACGCAATACTATTTATAGTATTTTACTCAAAATCAAAATTGACTGCGTACTTTTCTGTTCACACTTCTGCTTTGTAAATGGTTCATCAAGTAGTAGTAGTCTCAAGAAAAAAAAGTATCTTCGTGATCTTTAATCAAAAACAAACAACTTGCTACTGGTAATAATAAGAAATATAGAACAATCAAAATCACATTCATTTCTCATGATCCAACCAATTCCAGATTGATAAAATCGAGACCCACATTTATTTATTTATTTTTTTAAACACAGGAACTTGGAAATACATTTAATAACAAGTAAAATGAATGGTAAATGCTAAATATTAAAAAGCAGTTAGATCCTTAATTTGCCTTCTGCGCAGTTTCCCATCCTACACGTAACTAGAAGCGATGTAGTATACAGTGAAGGTGGATGTTTACAAGTTCTCGCCAAACTTACCAGAGAATCACCCTGCGCATATTAGCACAGACAATATTGATCTTCCCTGTGATGTGCAGTTCAAGAGAAGCTGGATGAAAAAAAGTCAGCCACCATTTTGAAACGGTTCCCCCACTGGCTACAGAGCGTACTCACTCTCAACACCAAAGAGAAGGAGGCCTGTCATGTCTGGCATGATGAGCTCAAAGTCTGGTCATGGCCTGGAGCGCCAGCAAGGCATCTGGCCCAAAAGCGGCCTGGAAACAAAGTCTCTCAAGCGCCTGACAGACACACAGAGAGCTCAGACCAGCCCCACACACCAGACAGGTGTCAGCCCGTCCTGACATGAATGACATCCAGGATTACCCCAAAAACAGCACTGCAAACTGATGAAAGTCGTCAGAAGCTTCTTTTTTTCTGATCAGAGAAAATGTCTACATCTAGTCCGTGGCATTATTTTCTTTCTCTCTCTTTTTTCCCTGTGATAGCACATGCAACCTTTTAGAAGCATTTCCAAGATGTGTATCAAGGAAGGTTTATTTGAGTGACTTGAAACTAACTACAGCTGGGAAAAAAATTAGAAAAACATGAAGTGTTTTTTAGGGACGTGTCACCGTTTCGATGTCTACGGAGCTGTCTGGAAGTCTGATGAGTTATGACAGGATACGGTAAACCTATCTGATTTAACGGCTGCATCTTGCTTTACAGCTGAGAAAAGGGCCAGATCCCTTGTGCTTTTGGAAAAGGTGTGATGAAAGTAGGAGCAGCCCGCTTATCACATTACCTTAAACAAGCCCGTCGACTGTTGCTTCCAGCTGGCAAGCAAACGACCAGGCAGCGGCTATTGTGCCACCGGCAGGCTACTGTTCCCGCTGCCAATATCAGGTGATTCAGAGATATTATTTTATCCTGTGTCGGAGCGCAGGGTTACATTTGTGACTTGTATGCACTAGGAGAGGAAGAAAGCCTCAAGAATAGCTTATTGTTGTCAGCTTGCATCTCAGCATTTGTTTGGCAGGCGCTGGCCCGTCTGGCAGAGGCGAACGGAGGCTGGAAAGGAATCCGTACCTCTGTAACACCTGCAGAGAGGGCAGACTGGCTCATATCCACCCTTCACTGTCAATAGAGCAGCGGCGGTGCCGTAACCCTACCCTCCTTTCGCAGTCCCTCAATGCAACTCGCAGTCCAGAGCGTGCTGATCAAACACAATAACCAGACACATCCTTCTCACGGACCGAGTTGCGAGACACAACGTGAGCTCCGCGCCTGACATGCACAGAAGCTGAAGCGCTGAGTTTCGGTCGCAACGGAGTTACTACTGTGATTTCACCTCATGACTTCACATCATTTGGAATTTATGGTTTACACAGGGTGAAACTTGATGGCTGCTAGGGGATGTTATCATGCTTGAATAAGTCCAAGTAATGCTTTAATCCCAGCTATTAGCCTTGTCTGTATTTTTCAAGGGCCAACGTTTATATGGCAAATTCTGACTTACAGTTCAGCCTGAATTAAAATGTCTGAGGTTTATTGCACCCTGGACCTGTTTCAAGCACTTAAAAATATGTGACAACCTTATTCAGGGCAACAGAGCCATGAATCTGTCAGCTCCACAGTGAATGTCAGCTTCCCGAAGGTCACATGCTGGGTATTAATAGCCAGACACTAATGTCAGAAGTCACAACTGTCCTCAACACCTGTGCAATATAACGTTAATTAAAAAACAAGATGGAGCCAGTCCGACATTTCACTGGGTAAATCGTCCTCTCTGGTTACAAACGTCAACGGGCTAATTTATTACTCCATCAACATGAGGAAATCCAAGAAATTACTAAAACTTTCAAAACGCCAGTCAAGCTTAAAAATAAGATGCATAAATTTGCCATTCATTAATTTTTTTCCACTTTTCAAGAAAACTCATTGCCACAATGCTAGGGTGTTCTGGGTGGTTGCTAAGCCACTGCTAAACAGTTGCTAAAGGGTTCTGTGTGGTTGATTGTGTTGCTATGTGGTTGCTAGTGTGTTTTAGGTGGTTGCCAGGGTACTGGTTTCTGTGTGGTTGCTAGAATCAAAGTCCCTTTAAGGCATGTCATCTCACTGGGCGGCCATCTTTGAAACGCCTCTCGGGCATCAAAGACTATAGAATACCCAAGATGTGTCACTCGTAGAATGGGAAAAAAAATGCAACGCTCAATATGGCCACTCAATCGCAGGAAACCCCGCCTTCTGAATGAAAGAGCCAATCGCTAATTGGTAAAGTCAGCGCGTCACTGCAGATGCCGTTGGAAGTCCCAGTTGTTATAGAAACAGTCAGCTTTCTGAGACGTGCTCTTAGGACTGCGCATGCGTACTGGCTGATCTTAGCCTGAAAAATACGCTTTTTATAACGCTATTTGAGCAAAATAAACAGTTATGACAGTTGTTGTCAGATTTCATTGGTGATTTCAAATATGAAATTAAATCGTAAGCTTAGTGAACAGTTTTGGAGAATTTGATGTTGCCCCATTCAAAGAGATAGGAGTTGCACTTGCATGCCCGAGAGGCATTTCAAAGATGGCCGCCGAGTGACATGACTTGTCTTAAAAGGACTTTGTTGGGCATGCAAGTGCAGCTCCTATCTCTTTGAATGGGGAAACATCAAATTCTCCAAAACTGTTCACAAAGCTTACGATTAAATTTCATATTTGAAATCACCAATGAAATCTGACAACAACTGTATCATAAATGTTTATTTTGCTCAAATAGCGTTATAAAAAGCGTATTTTTCAGGCTATACCAGCATGCGCAGTCCTAGGCGCACGTTTCGGAACACTGTTTCTATAGCAACCGGGACTTCTAACGGCAGCTGCAGTGATGCGCTGACTTTACGGAGTAGGGATTGGCTCTTTTGCTCAGAAGGTGAGGCTTCGTTTGATAGAGCGGCCATATTGAGTGTTGCATTTTTCCCCATTCAAAACTATAAGAGTGACACGTCTTGGGTACTCTATAGTCTTTGCTAGAATGTTCTGGATGGTTGTTCTGTTGTTATGTGGTGGCTAGGGTGCTCTGCAGTTCCTTACTGATCCAAAGCTAACAAACAAAAACAAACAAATAATATATACCCAAAAAAACAAAATAAAATAATGCAGTTTATGCATATATACTGTATATTCAACTTAGACAGTATCAATATTTCTTTTACTGGAAAATAAGACAAAATTACTCATTTGACTCCTTAAGCTGAACTATTTGATGAGTTACACAGCCTATTTTAATAGTTTGAGGATTTAAAAGGGGTCTTTCTCTTCCCTCAATCTCTTTCTCTGTCTCTTCTAAGTAAGGGATGAATGTGGTGTGAGTATCACTTGACCCCGCTGACCTGCAGGTGACCCCAGAGGCACACAGGGTTTGCAGGAGGCCTGTGCTCTGATGGCTCAGAGACTCTCTCCTTTCACAGTGTGAATGAGGAGAATGGGCCTCCCTCTCACAGGCCATTCAACATTGTGGAGGGCTGCTGAATTAAGAATGCACAGTGAATAATGAACTCTATTAACCCTAACAGTCCCAAATATACACACCTGAGATAGTGTCCATACTCACAAATACTGTATTTGTATTTGCTATGTTTCTTTTAGACTGCAATGCTTATTATAGAGTTGTTAGCTTAGCAACATGCTAATGCTAAATTCTACTGAAATCAACAGTCGAGTCTCTGGTGCACCTTAAAAAATGCATAAAAATGACATGCAGTTGTCTTTTTTTCATTTTAGTAGGCCTATTTATATTATAAACAGGACAATTATGTGTGTTTTTAAAAGGTTAATAGAGCACTGCAATCATGATATAATTAGATAGATAGATAGATAGATAGACAGACAGACAGACAGACAGACAGACAGACAGACAGATAAAGCTCTAAACCAACAAAAGTTTATGACTCCTATATGTTTTGTTCATGTTTTGTTTGGAAGGTGATTAGATGAAAACAACATATGCATATTCATTCTAGAGGGCATTTCATTGGGCAAAATGGGATATGCCCCTGAGTGCAAGTTATCTTATAAAAGCTATTTTTGTCAGGAGTACACAAGCTTAATGATGGTTATTGATATCCACAATTTTTGTCATGGGCTCTTTAAATTTGGACTTTTGTGGTCTAACGGGGTGCTATTTCATCAACACAGATGAATTTGCCTATGTAAAGAGTTTTAAAACTCTTTTATGAGGTTCATTTTAAATTAGAATGCAGCTGCCTATGTAGGCAGTACATGGTAAGGCAGCTCAATAATTTTTAGGATAGGCTTATGTACATAACGGATGACTACAACACACACAAACTTCCATTATCCAATCAGCACTGCAGTCTTGCATCTGTATGTTAATGACTTGTCAGCTCTGACCCAGTGCCGATGAGAACAGAGAACGTTAATGCAGTGCACTTGTCTAGTTAATCTCACACAGGCCTTGGCTGTTTGTTCTCAAACAGAGCAGATCTGAAATCTCACTCCACCCCATGCTTTTGTGTGCAGATCTACCTATTAGCACAGGTTTACACTGCCTGACCCCTGACGACATGAATTATATTCCCATCCGCCTGGCAAAGAGAAAAAGGACCAAATCGATGGTCCTGTAGGCCTTGTCTATCGGCACGGCTCTCGAAGCTGCTTCGTTGACTCAGATTTCTCATTAATCTTCTATATCCAACTGCCTAAATTACTGCTTTTATGGACACATTTACCATTCACACACTCATTTGGTTTCAGTAGCCTGAGGCTTCTTGTACTCTGGTTCTTCACCACCCACACAGGCTGTTTATTTACTGCTGGGCTTGTTAGTAGCCATTAAACTCATCTAAAATAAAAGTCAACATTGTCAAAGCAGTAATCCGGTTTATGTGATGGCTTGCCTCGTAAATAGATAATATTAATTGACTAATGCAATTACGTCATAGGCAGGGTGGCAGCATACATACGCAGCGCTGAGAGTGATTGATTATTTTATGGCATTCTGAGCAGCTATATTCTTGTTGGGATTTCATAAAGCACTGCTATATCTGGATATAACAATGCTGGGATGACAAGTGGGCTAACCGGAGATGGGGAAATGCAAGCTGTCTGATGGCTAACGATAAAAAAACAAAAACAAAACAACAAATAGGCACCGACGTTGAGAGTATTGAACTTAAGCGCTAGATTAAAAGAATCCACACGCGACGCTGTCGCTGGCTGTCGAATTTCCTCCTTCCTCCTTAACATAAGAGGAGGTCAAACAATATGAAGGTTATCGGCGGCCGTATCAAAATAAATTACGCTCGGGAGTGTCTCTCGCTGTCGCACAGCGTCTTAATGATGCAAAGTTAACACACACTAAATAACAGTGCCTCCTAGCATTGACAGCTTCAGAAATAATTGACCAATATGTTGCAGGCTGAGATACAGTGGGCTGAGAATCCAATCGTGCAGCTGACAGAATGCATTGAGCATGCCACTAAATTCTGCATTATACACAAAGAACTGGCAGGTCAGGGAGCTGACTCCTGTGAGCCATTATGTGATGCCATCAATGAGGCTAAATTACCTGCCTCTCCACAATATGCTCCAGTTAACTAATTTCCTGACAGCTCACTGTCTCACAAGAAAAGCACCAAATTCGCTAGCTGTCAGGTGCATGATGGACTATTCCTCTTTTTCATTCGCTTCCTCTTTTTGAAATGGCACTCCTCACAGCAGCCCCTTCAGCAAGAATACGTGGAGATTCAGTGCAAATGCACAAGCAATGAAGTAAACCAGATTATAAACAAAGCCCAGAACGCGTATTAGCTGCTATTAGACGATATTAGACACGGGCGAACGATGCCGAACGGAAAATGAGAAAGTGCAAATTACTGGTAATTTTGCCAATATTTGAAAAATTTACATACGAGGTGCGCTATAAATCACGCGATCATTGCGTTTCGGCCCACAGATTCGTCGCTGTCGTTCGCGTTCCCTCCCGACTGGAAAACAAAAAGCCTACAAAAGCTTCGCCTCCACAATGAGGCCACGGAAACAGAATCCTCAGGTAGACAAAGTCAACTTTTCCCTGCCAGAACACGCGCACAATGGTGGCGGCGCTGTCGAAGCCTTCCTTAAAGCGAGCCCGTATTACCAAACAATGCTGCTCAACAAAAAGAGACACCCACCGAGGAGTAGAACATTGTCTGCTTAAAGTTCACAATGCATGCCAGCGTTTGTCTGCTTCGCCTTTTCTTCTCGTGCCTTTCTTCTGTGCACTCTGTGTGTATGTTCCTTTACAGAGGTGGGCTATCATTATCTCAGGAATGACAGTAGGTGGAAACGCTATCTTTCATTACACAGAGCATAAATAGTGTAATCTATCAGCTCTGTCAATCAGGATGATTGATTACGGCCTGTCAGAGAGGAGAGTGACATATTAGAAAAGTTTTGTTAACAATGCCTATTGCGAGTGGGGCCTGCCACAGAGGCAAGTGATTAATGTGTTGTCAGGCTGTAATCCCACACCGCTGGCTAATGAGGCAAGAATTTATCATCTTTACAGACTGGCAGATGTCAGAAGGAAAGGAATCCAAAGTGCTGGAAACAATATACTGTTTCTTACCGGGCCTGACGTGTCTGACAAGCTTTAAAAACCTCAAAGAGGCCTTGTGTAAGCAAAAACTTGAATAGGGCAACTTTCCTTTTGGCATCCTTCTCGAATTCTGCAAGTCAACAAGTATTGCTCTGAGCGAAGAGTTCCCATAACTTCAGCCCCTTTTGTCAGGCAAGTCAAAGTGCTGCTACAAAGAGCTTTTCAATTACTCCTCCATACACGACGTGTGAAATTTACACACCTAGTTCTTGTTCGCGCTTCTGATTCTCTTAAAAACTCCAAACATGCAGTATATATACACACACACATGTAAAAACCTTCTCAACTCATTAAAGTAAATAAGAGAAGGGGAGGTGTAATGCGATCATGGCTAGTTGTTTTTAGTAGCGGCAGGCTTAGAAAAGAGCTGAGTGGGAATCGGTCACGGAGGCTTGTTTGGGTTCGACCGGCCCCTGTAATAAGAGTTCCTGCTGCCTCTTTGGTTCCAGCTCTCCTGCAGGTCTGAGATTCAGGGCCCCAACAGGGAGCCACTGACATAGGGTGAGAAAAGCTCCGAGCCCCCTGGGACAGAAAAACACTCAATCTCTGTCACGGCCACTTTCACTGCCGCCAAGCACCGCATACAATTAGTGCTGCTCTTTAACATGCAGTGCACTGCTATATGTGAATATGAAGATGTTTAAGAAAAGGTTTGTGGAAAGAAAAAGCGGTAACACTTTAGATTAGGGAACACTATTCACTATTAACAAGTTACTTACTAACATGCAAATTACTAGCATACTGCCTGTTTATTAGTACTTAATGCATATATGCCTTATTCTGCATGACCATATTCTAGATCCCTAACCTAATGCCTAAACATAACTACTACATAAAATACCTTAAAATAATACCTTACTTGAAGGGAAACATTTGAATTTCAGAATTTACTGTATTTTGCTTTAATGAGCACTTGAGTGTTGAAGTTTGTTGAAAACCCAATGATAATGTTATTTGGTATGATTTCATAATCATAAAATTTTAAAATCATTTTGTAATAACTTGTTTAGGATTATATATTGTGTGTTTGTTTGTGTGTGTGTATACATATATACACATGCACACACACACACATACATATATATATATATATATATATATATACACACACACACACACACACACACATACATACATATATATATATATATATATATATATATAAGGGCTGGTACGCGATTACAATTTTTAATCTAATTAATTACATGATGTGGCAATTAATTAATCTAATTAATCGCAAATTAATCGCACATCAAATTTGGCTGAGAAATTACTCCCAAAAGATAATTTAAAGTCTTTGTTGTGCAAAGCATCAAACAGACATTACAAAAAGTAGCTTCAGCAAGAAATATTTTGTTTCTATTTCTATTACATTTTAGAGTAAATGATGACACAATTGTCATTTTTGGGTGGGTCCACTACACCTTTAATAATTTATTTTATTAATTTTATTATTATTACTTTGGAAATATTAAATTATTTCTTTAATGAAATGATACTCTAAATAATAAACTAAAACTGCCAGTAGGTGGTGGTAAATGTCTTAATTATTAAGTAATCGAGTCATTTATTCATTCATTTGATTCGTTCAAATGACTGATTAATTCAGGAGTGAAGTAAATGGTTCTTTATGAATGGTTAATTGAATCATTAGACTTGTTCGACTTGAAGCGGATCATCACCATCAAATCGATCGGTTATACATACAGGGTGCGATTTGTGAAAAAAATGGGATGCTTTTGATGGTTCTCTTTATGAATGGTCCATTGAATCATTAGGCTTGTTCGACTTGAAGTGGATCATCACCATCAGACCGGTCGGTGTGTGACATCAAAGTACCGCAAGAGCTATAGAGAGCAGAAGATT